AAAGCGGTGGGAGGTGCTGCGGGCGGAAGCGCCGCCCGCCCGAGGGGAGCGGCGGCATGAGCGGAGCGGAGCCGGGGCCCGGCGGGGCCGCCCGGCGCCATTACCCGGCCCTGCCCGTGTGGGTGGTGGAGGACCACCAGGACGTGAGTGCCCCGCGCTGGGCTGCCGCGGGATGGGGGCTCCCTCGGGTGCGGCGTGGGGAGGGGTTTCGTTTATTCCTGTTCGTGTGCTCGTTCGTGTGTTTCTCCGCGGCGCCGATGCTCGGTGGGGCCGGCGGAAGCGAAGAGGGGTGCCCGGTGCACCGGCGGCCCCCCGGGAGATGCGCTTTCCCCTCATGTGTGCGGGTCTCCGGCTCCACCTTGGGAGCTGCCCTGCCCTCCGCAGCCGCACCAAACCCCAAACCTGCCTTCCCTTCCGCTGCTCAAACATCCGTGAGCTTCAGTGCCCAGCTGACCTGATTTTCGTTCCCGATTCACATACTGAGCTACTTACGGCCACGATCGCATTCTGGCGTCTTTTTAAGTAATTATTGCTGACTGCTTTTTTCTTCTTTGTATCGTTAGTTGCTATGGTTTAAAGAAAATAATACCTACGTTACACTGCTGTTATAGTTTGCTAGCTGTTTGTGGGGTGTTTGGAATCTCAACCCTACCCAGTGTATGACATATCAACAGAAGATAAATAAATATAATCCCATCCCAACAAGTAGACTGACTTAACAAGAAATGTTAAAAATCTGGAGCTTTGCTTTTTTTTCGTGGAGTCACTGAAAAAGGGAGTGAAGAAGGAATTGCTTTTAACTGCTGTTTCTCATGTTTTGTTTTTTTTTTTATAATAGCATAAACTGAGGCTTTAATCCTAAAATAACAGATTTTTTACTAGATTATTTACAAAGAGAAAATATGAGTGTAGTAAAGTTCATTAAAGAAAACAGTTTTATGAATTTGTAAGGCGTTTAATGCAATTCATTTTTGCTAAGAGTCACTGAATATCTGATGCTGTGATAGCCCATTTTTCATGGTAGCCAAGGACTTAGAGTGTCACTGTGGTAGGAATCCTGAGATAATGCCTTTTAATCATCCTTAGTTGATTATATTCCTCTATATAATCTATTTTATTATAGGTAAATATTATATATATTTTATATATATATAATGGTACTGCACCATATATTACTATGTATAAATATGAAG